CAGTAGCATTATCAGTAGAAGTAGCAGTAGCAGTAGCCGTGGCAGTAGCAGTAGCAGTAGCAGTCGCAGTATAGCAGTAGCAGTAGCAGTAGCAGTAGCAGTAGCAGTAGCAGTAGCAGTAGTAGTAGTAATAGTAGTAGTAGTAGTAGTAGTAGTAGTAGTAGTAGCAGTAGTGCGTGTAGTAGTAGTAGTAGTAGTAGTAGTAGTAGTAGTAGTAGTAGTATTAGCAGCAGCAGCAGCAGCAGCAGTAGAAGGAGTAGCAGTATTATTAGCGCGATTAAAAGTCGCAGCAGCAGCCAGTGACGGTGATAGCAGTAATAGCAGTCGCTTATAACATTGCTGCATTTCGCTAAGTCAGGGCTGCCACCATGGCATATCACGGCCATTTCCTGATCGTTGGTTTTTTCTTTAGCTGTCGTGGCGAGCAGTTCGGACTGCTACCTCAGCAGATGCTGCTCGTTTCATGTGTGTTAAGAATTGCTAAGGCGGTTTAGCGCATACCGTATCACCATGAGGCTGGACACGCGTTGAGGCAGCCAACTTGCAGCACGCAGGACATCGTCCAAGCCTTTTTCCCTGTCCGCTACCAGATCTACGAGCGAAGGAAGGCATGGCTGTCGACATCTTCCACAAAGCACAGGAAAAGCTTCTTCAGCTCAGGCCTACCTGGTGGACAAAATGGAGCGAGAACTTGCAGTGCTATCAAACAAGCTTCAGCCTGATTTTGCAGGGAGCATGATTGATTTCTCATAGCTCGCCATGTACTGTTTAATGGATCATTGTGCAACTATGCTTTTGTGGCCTGGCTTTCCCTCTGCCTGCTGCTGCAAAGTGTAGTTGATGTCAAAGAGAGGGCGATCTGGGAACGAAGTCCATCCGACCAGGCCCCCAGCACGTGCCACAGCCCATGTCCGCTCGAGTGTGCATGCAGCTTGTAAGTTCGTTGTACGAAGAGGCTGCATACGCGAAACGCTTTGTTGAACGGGGCTAGGCGGTGGTGAGATGTTGTGGATCGTCGCTCTGTCTAAGAGCGTGACACTAAGGGTGTACCAACCGCCCTAGACGCTGTCCAGGGTGGGCCTTCACTTGCACCGTGTGTAGGATGCACTCCTTAGTGTGTATCTTTCGTAGCTTCTGAAGCGGCTTATGTACTTTGGCAGCAAGTCTGGATGGCAGTAGCCGTGGCCGCGTCGATTTTTCAGAACTCATCCATTGACATTCCAAGGCTGCGCTTTGTGGAGTTGGTCGTTGGAGACAGGTCGGGCGAGCCATTTCCAGACTAGCATGGTGTATCGCACTATCTTGCTATGATTGCTATGTTCTACTGGTCGGGAAACTGACTGGAAGGGCTGGCGCTTGGATGCACTCAGCATGGTGTGTGCTTCGAAGCAAACCTGCACAGATGGCGATGCGTACCATTCTCTTTTCGGCAAGAAGCGGGGGCACAGATTTCTGCGTGCAAGCCAGCCAATCAGTCAGTCAATACAGTCTTCACACAAACGGTCTGTGCGAGTGCATGGCACATTTCAATAGCTATTGCAGAACGCGGGCATCCCTGCACCCACCTTCCCCGAGAGAGGGCCAGGGTTCGCTGGTTTTCAGGTCACGGCTACAAAAGATATTTTCGAAAGCTTTCCATAGAAGTTTTCTCAGCTTCCGGCCAGGCTGGATGTGGAGAAGAAGCGCATGGCGGACCTTTGTGGCAAAATGCGGAAGCTTGGCCTGGAACACATGTGCGAGACCCAGTACCGTTAAGGCACTGTTGTCGCCTGCTGTTGCAGGCTTGTGACGTGATGTGGGTCTCACCAGCACATAGGTGCCAGATCAAGGGCGAGGGCTCCGTGAAGGTGGGCACAGAGGTCCATCGCAGCTAGTATCAGCCAGTCTATGTCCGGTGAACTGCGATATCATAGAGCAGTGTCTGCGCATCTGTTCATCCTGATCCACTGCCGTTTTAGCTTCATCCGCTTGCATCCTGATCAGTTTCATTATGTCGTTGAATGCACGCAGACCCCCAAAAAGTCGCTCACAGATGCCAGACGCACCTGAAAACTTGAATGTGAGGGTAGCTACATGGGTAGCTACATGGCCACCACGTGAATCCTGAGAGCGCGCAGTGGCGAAGAAGCGTGCAGATGCAGGCAGCCGATCAGGTTAGCTTCAGGTTAGGTCTAAGTTTGTGCCGGTTGCTTGGCATGTGGATGCTGAAAATCTTCGGGGATAAGACAACAGTCGAACAATACACAGGGCTCCACAAGAAAATAAGGCATCTGTAGCAGTTTGAGCCCTTGCAGGCTCCCAGCGCACAGAGGATCGCAAGCATTCTTCGGTCCGAGGACTGTGTTTAGTCCAGAGCTGGCCCAAAGGGGAACAAGACAATCGGAAGATGCCTGAAGAAAACTGACTTCGTTCAGCTTGCGCTTGATCTTGACCTGACGATATCTTGAGATGAAAGGAGCCGTGGATGCCACCACCAAGTTCTTTGGCCGCTGCCTCGGCGCACAAGAGCCCGACATGACTGGAAGAGCAGGAGGAAGCCCACGTATCCAACATCATTTTTCTCCCGGCCAGTGACGGAGCTAAGGACCTTGCACACAGTTTGGTGTTGAAGCAGCGTCAGCTTGTGGATCCTACGCTGCCAAGATCTCAGCTGTTCTCTTTCGAGCGAAGTCCTAGCTCCGGGCTTTGTGCGCTTGCGTTTCTATTAGCCTCAAGTGTATACGGGATGTTCAACAACTTCCCTGAGCGATAGCTGCTGTGAGAGAGGGAGCTTTTAGCATGGCTGCCCAGAAGAATCTCTCTCTCTCTCTCTCCCTC